ATCTCAGGGTCCTGGGATCGAGCCCTGCATTGGGCTCTCTGCTCAGCAGGGAGCCTGCTTCCCCCCTCTGTCTGCCTGCCTCTGTGCCTACTTGTGATCTCTCTCTCTGTGTCAAATAAATGGATAAAATCTTAAAAAAAAAAAATAGACTGAATATATTCACATAATGGCATACTGTTGTTACAGGAGTACCTGAATGTGGTCCCTACCACACTTGGACCCAAGCAACTTGGGCCTCTGCCCTGAGCCCACTTTAGACAGCCTCTCACCTCTGCCTTCCTCCAGCTGTGATATGACCTTTCCTTGGCGCAAGCAGTCACCTAAATCCTGAATTCCATTTTTTTAGACCAGGCTCCAAGGACCCACTTCCCTTAATTCCCTGCCCAAATGGCCCTGATCCCATTTTCAGAGCCTGAATGACTCTCCTTAGGCTCACCCTACTGAAAACAGGTAGCCACCAGGGGTGTGCCCAAGCTTAAGACCAACGGATGGCCAAGGGTCATCTATTCGCACATGGTATAGGTATCTACACATATGTGTGTGAGGCTTCTTGTGGCACAGGATGGAGCCAGGACAGGCAGAGAGAGTGGGTGAACCACCGGGTCTCTATTTGCACTTTTGTCCCAGACCCCACTGATGCTCACGTTGGTCCTGGATGAATAGTTCTTACATAATATTGAGCTCAAATAATACTAGTGTGTGTGTGCACGAACACACACACACACACACACACACACACACACACACATTTCCATTGACACCCAATTTCAAAAAGAGGCAAAACTATAGTGTTAGAGATATATACAATCTAAAGCACTCATTTGTAAGTATTCATTAAATAATAGTACATATGTTACCCACTTTTTGTCAAATTATGTTTTGACTATCTAAACCTGAAAATGAACTATTATCAAGTTTCCTATTTTATCCAAGTTCTCTAGTCATGGTTCTTATTTTGCTATTTGAAATCTTCACATATGTATCTATTAAAAAATACTTTCTTGGGGCACCTGGGTGGCTCAGTCAGTTAAGCACCTGCCTTTGGGTTAGGTCATGATCCCAGGGTCCCAGAGGTCCCAGATGGAGCCCCACACCTGGCTCAATGCTCAGCAGGGAGTCTGTTTCTCCCTCTCCCTCTGCCTGCGACTCCCCCTGCTTGTGCTCTATCAAATAAATAAAATCTTTAAAAAATAAAAATAAAGAATACTTTCATAATTAATAAAAACCACATGTAGTTGGAGATCTCAAGATAAAATGGACACTAAAATCAATAGGGTTTATGAAAGGAGGAGAACAACTTTTAAGAAGACTGTTCATATTCACTTTGGAGTTAAAACAATACAACTATTATTGAACTTAAAAACTGGGTAGTGTCCAATAATGTAGTGTCCATAAGTGGGTCAGTATAAGAGAAAGAGCAGACCTGTGAAAAAGCCTAAAACATGAATGTTTCAAACACATTTGGGAAGAAAATTTTTGTGATAAACTATCTGCCTGTTAGTGGGGGTTAAAAGATTAAAAAAAGCACATACTGAGGGCAGTTTGCTCGCCATCCTGTCCTAAGCACACTGCACTCCCAGGGAACTGAGTAGACACTCAACATCCACTGCACAGGCAAGTAAAAATAGGAAATCAAATGAATATGCCTCAGAAAATTCCAGGATTCAGTTTCTCTGTGCAAGGCAATCACACTTTCTAAATCCCTATGACAATTTCCTAATATTTTTGTCTACTAAACCTAAAAGCCCAATCTACAAAAAGCAAACTAAATGCATTCCTCTACCTCCCCATTTATCACTGATACATGTCACAGGCTGTATTTCCAAAAACAGTCACACAATAGTTTCAGTCCTACCTGCTCTTCTAGAACCTCGATGTTCCTCGTCAAGAAAGGTGGATCCCCTTCTTTTGAATATAAGCAGGTCTTTATGATGGCCACGGTAATAGTTATGACAGAAGTCACACTGTGTGATTTGGGGGTTAGGACATAAAAAGAACTAGAGCTTCCATGTGGGCTCGGTGTCTTGAGACACACAGCTTAGAGCCCATGGTGCCATGTACCGAGTCTATTCTGAAGCCACCATACTCGAGACCACATGGAGAAAGAGGGATGCGGGCAGAGCCTCAGCTCTCACCCCCATCCTTCTGATTTTCCCCACCCAGGCAAATGGACTCCAACCCCAGTCACTATCTGACAGAAACTACGTGTGAGACCCCAAGCGAGAACCCCTTACACCATCCTATTCAACCTCCAGAAGCATGGAAGAGAAAAAGAAAATGATGATTTCTGCTTTAAGCCATTAATCTGTTACACTGCAATCGACAACTGATGTAATATATGATCCAGTTCATGCAAAATACTTCTTGTATCCATATTGTAAGTGAAACAGTAAGAATGTAGAAACTTTTGGGGCACCTAGGTGGCTCAGTAGATTAAAACCTCTGCCTTCGGCTCAGGTCATGATCCCAGGGTCCTAGGATTAAGCCCCGCATCCAGGCTCTCTGCTCAGCAGGGAACCTACTCCCCACCACGGCCCGGCCTGCCTCTCTGCTTACTTGTGATCTCTGTTGGATAAATAAATAAAATTTTTTAAAAAATTTAAAAAAAAGAATGTAGGAAAGTTTTCAATTTTTACTTAACAAAGGATAATATTAATTAAACAAAATTTTTTAAACTATCCTGGTCACAAAAATCTAAATTGGTAAAACCAAGCAAACTAGCATTCTAACTAATTAGATTTCCAACAAGTTTTCAAAAGCCAGTGGCCCTCAATATTGCTTTTAGCTTTCAAAAATCACTTTAATCCTGGGGTGCCTGGGTGGCTCAGTCATTAGGCATCTGCCTTCAGCTCTGGTCAAGATCCCAGGGTCCTGGGATTTAGCCCCGCATCGGGCTCCTTGCTCAGCAGGGATCCTGCTTCTCCCTCTCCCACTGTCCCTGCTTGTGTTCACTCTCTTGATATGTGTTTCTCTGTCAAAGAATAAATAAAATCTTTAAAAAAAAAAAAAAATCACATTAATCCTTTCTCATGTACTTCCAGTTCTCAAAGTGTGGTCCCTGGAGTGGCGGGCATAAACATGGCATGGGAATTTGGTGTAAATCAAAAACTCTGAGGAAAGGACATGTGCTACGTTTGAGACCACTGCCCTAAGATTTGCCATATTCCTTCTTTCAATTTTTTAGGCACTTCCCTTTATTATACCCTGTGACACAGGCAAAGGCGAGACTACCACTCTTATTTTATAGTTGAAGAGACTGAGGCTTGGAGCAAATAACGAAAGAGTTCATCCAAGTTGATACAGTGAGGACACAGAGCTGGGGATGGAAACTAAAGACACAACATCCTGTGAAGACATCTGGGCATCGAACAGGTTTCCAAATTATTCAAGTTTATAATTTTGTTTTATTTTATTTTATTTTTAAGATTTTATTTGACAGAGAGAGAGATCACAAGTAGGCAGAGAGGCAGGCAGAGAGAGAGAGGGGGAAGCAGGCTCCCTGCTGAGCAGAGAGCCCAATGCGGGACTTGATCCCAGGACCCTGAGACCATGACCTGAGCAGAAGGCAGAGGCTTAACCCACTAAGCCACCCAGGCGCCCCCAAGTTTATAATTTTAAACACGTTAATTGGACAGGCCTCTTCATAATTTTAGTGTCTATGTTTAGGAATGATGTCACAGGGAGTAATACTCAGCATTGGAACCCTGTCTCCTCCCATAATACTGTGTTATCTTGGCTGAGAAACTTCACTTTTCTGAACCTGAGAATATAAAAGAGAAGGCTGCTTTAAGGGTTAACAACAATAGCTAACAGCCGGGCTCTCATTATGCACCAACAACGGCTGTATATGCTTAAACAAATTACCTTACCTTATCCTCCTAATAGCACTCTGAGGTAAGTATTATCCCTACCTCAATTTTCTAAGTAAAGAAATTGGAAGCACAAAGTGATTTTAAATAAGCTTCCCAAGTCATAGAGCTCCCTATGGAGCAACAGAGACGGCATCTGAGCCAGGAAGTCTGACTATAGAACCTAAATGCTTTAACTGTTTTCTCACTTAAAATAATTAAATGAAATGACCCACATAAGGTGCAGAGCACATTGCCGGAGTTTAATAACCACGAGTAATTTTACCATTATTGTTGGGAATATCTACTATTTTTACTCCCTTAATAGGTAGGTCACTGCTTATTTCCAGTACCCCAATATTCTGGGAAAGATGTCCAACACATTGAAAACAAGGAAAATAAAATGCAGGTGAAGGGAATGAGGAGTGTATTGTGGATCTTAGGGTGCATCCTAACAAGGACTAGAGAACGTATTCTCAACATATTTAGCATTTTATGCTTATAATTATTTCACTCGTGCCCGAAGGCTCTTAACACGTATACCTACATGTTAATGCTGGTCCTAAAAACATGCAGGAAGCCCTAAGACCGAACTGTAATACTGTATTCAATGACACCGGAGTCATTAGGAAATCTGACAAGGGACTCACTAAAATGTTAACAGTCCTGGATTTTTGAGTGCGAACTTTTTTTTTTTTAAGATTTTATTTATTTATTTGACAGAGGAAGAGAGAGATCACAAGTAGGCAGAGAGGCAGGCAGAGAGAGAGGAAGAAAAGCAGGTTCTCTGCTGAACAGAGAACCCGATGCGGGACTGGATCCCAGGACCCTGAGACCATGACCTGAGCCAAGGCAGAGGCTTAACCCACTGAGCCACCCAGGCGCCCTTGAGTGCGAATTGTCTTATCTACCATCCTTGCATTTGCTGCAAATGATTTTTTTATTGATATAAAGAAAAGTTCAAGACGATCTGAAAGATAAGACTTACCTTCAGTCCAACTGTCTATGGAAAAAGTTTTGAAGACATTTATGATTTCCTCGAGTTAATCTGATAAAGCCCATCCTGCCCCAAAGCTAGTTTATCCAGAAGAGCAACTTCGTACTCACAGCGAAGACCTAGCACATCACCATCACTGATTGCCTTGTACTTACCTCCACGGCGTAGTGGAAAGCTGAGGAGCCAGGGTGCAAGGACAGGTTCTGAAGAGGCTTGATACGTGGTTTCTCCCATCCACACTGTGAGGACCACTCCACCGTCAACATGTGATCCGTGAACACAGTTCCAAAAACCAGAGTACTCGGGTCTGGTTTTTCCTTTAAAATGGAGGCTGGTGTGATTATTAGATCTTTCGCCTGAGGAAGAAAAATCGGCACCATTAAAGAAAAGTTACTGGACATCCCCTGGCTGCATAATACAGAGGGTGAAAAGACAAAATTTAGGTCACTGGCTACGAAAAAGTGAAATCATTTGACTTTTAAATGCTGGCAACTAACTCAGAAATTTAACAACACTACGTGAGCCAAACAAATCTTGTTGGCATTCAGAATCTGGCTTGCTATTTAAAATCTCTACTGTACACAGACTAATAAATAAAGACCAGTGATATTTAGAAACAGGGACAAAATAGCAGAACAGGTAAAATGATGGAAAAAGAACACATGCCTTCCTTGTTCTCACCACAGGACTTCTATCAAGCACTCAGGAATGAGGGAAGGGGTGTCTTCTAGAATAATGATAGCAATACTCATAATGATTTGTTAAACTAAAATTAAAGTCATTAAGAATAGAATCTCTTAGTGATGGTTGTACTCCAGCTCCCTCAAAGAATTCTTGGCACAAGCCTTCAAACCCCCCTGGGTACATCAGAGAAGAAAGGAAGAGAATGAAACAAATGTTTTCCTCTTTGAAAACAGAGAAGTAGCAAATGTACACCAAGATATAAATCCTCTATTCTATGTTGAGGAAACAGTGAACAAAAGACCTCTTATTGAAAGCAAGAAAAATAAGAGTAATAGGAAACAACTTCACACAGAACCATTACAACAACTCCCCACAAAGCCAAGCTTGCGCATTACAAATGGCCAAACACACACACCCCGATCACAGTACCATCTCTATCCTCACATCAGCCGTAGACAGCCAACAAACCATAGGGGAAGGAGCATTTTGATCAGTAAAAATAATATTAACCAGGGACAGGTTCAACTTGTTAACAGGTTGTAAGGAAGGTCAAACTCCATAAGAGTACTCACTGCCCCCCAAAATCAAGTACAGAAGTTCCCTTTAGATCATCAGCTCTTATCCTTATATTAAGATGATCCAGGGGCACCTGGGTGGCTCAGTCGGTTAAGCCTCTGACTCTTGATTTCAGCTTGGGTTATGATCTCGGGGTCATGAGATTGAGCCCCGTGCCAGCTCCAGGTTGGGCATGGGGCCTGTTTAAGATTCCCTCTCTCCCTTTCCCCTTCCCTGCCTCATGCACATGCTCTTAAAAAAAAAAAAAAAAAATCCAATCGCTTCTAATTCACTGCCTTACACATGCCTCAGTCACTTGATATATTATGAATGATAATCAGTTTTATTTTTATAATAATATTCAGCTGAATGTATTCTAAAACAACAAAAAAGCTCACATTACAGGGAAGCCTAAGGCACTAAAGATAACATATTACTGTAATTTTCAGATTTAGTAATGTTACTTTGGAATATGCCAATAAAATGCCAAATTTGGAGGCAAATGGACTTTCTTTTACCACTATTTAATCCAAGTAAGTAAATTAACTTAAAACCCTTTATTGAGTGCAGAAAAAGAATTTATTTAAAGGGATACACTCCAGCTCAATTATTTTGTTCCCTGAATCCCGTTTCTCTCCCTTTATCCTCTAGACCTCATCCCCCAAATAGGATATTGGGCAAATTTCACCAAAAGGCTAAATGCAGCCTTCTGGTCTATTTTGTAAATAAAAGTTTTATTGGAATATAGTCACACCGTTCTTTTAGCTTTAACGATGGCATCGTCCATGAATAATGACAGAAACGTTATGGTCCTCAAGCCTAACTATTTATTATTCGACCCCTTAAAAAGTTTGCCAGTCCCTCTAGACTGTTTGGACAAGAACTGAGTAGATATTCCAGTGAAATCTCTAACCCTAGCACAGTGCCTCACACACACAATACAGTACATCTTAAATGCTGAAAATAATTTTCGGCTGATTTCAGGTACTCCCTGAGGGATGACAGGCTCATGCGCAGAAGATGGCCAGGGTTTAAAATGAGTGAAATTCTAACATAAACATTTCATTACATGAATGGTTTCACAGTGCTCTTGCACAACGAAGCACTCGGGACTTGGCTTTAGTGGGCCTTTTTAGTGGCTTTTCTTAGCCTTGGGCTAAGAAAAATCTGTAACCATATCACTAGAGTTACATAAACAATACAAATTTTCACCTATTAAAACTACTAATAAAAATTTCTCAGTAACAGGGGAAAATAGTAAGACCCAGAACAGAAAGGTGAGAGTCGGTAAAGATGGAAAAGTGAGAGTGTGAGTAGAAGATGTGAGTTTTTCCTGCTTGCTGAATTTGGGGTATGTCTTCGATATTGCAAAGGCAACAGACCTCAGACTTTCCCCCTAATGACAGAACGAATACTTTGTATGGTTCTTCAAAAGTAAAATAAAGATCACCTTCCCTGTTATTTCTTTCATTAGCTAACCTATTCTCCCATGAGCTAATCAACAAGAAATCAACTATACATGATCCTCACAGCTTTCAGGATTTCTAAGCTCTCCAATAAATAACCACCTGCCATGAAACCAATAGGCCATGGAATATATACTCTGTATCAATAACAATCTACATAATATTTAAAAACAAGACTATGGCCTCATATCAAACAGCTTTTTTATTTTTCCTTCCCTTGCTCTTTCTTCCATATCTGCTTTATTATTCTTAGTATTTTGCCTTTTTATTCACTCAATGAACACTGACTGCACAAGCACAATGGTTCAGGCACTGCACTAAGCAAGCACAAGAGATGCAAACATGCCTGTGGCTCAGTCCCTCCTCCTCAGCAAATTCAACGTCAGCGATGGACAGACAGGAAGCAGCCGCTGTGAGCAAGTATTACTCACCCAACCTATTATCTGCTGAGCTACTGTGTACCCATTGTTACAGGCCCAAAGGAATCTCTGGGAGGAAAACAAGTAAAGTCCTGTTCTCTTAGTGCAGGGAAACAGTATAAAGAATTAAGTGGAGGGGCGCCTGGGTGGCTCAGTGGGTTAAGCCGCTGCCTTCGGCTCAGGTCATGATCTCAGGGTCCTGGGATCGAGCCCCGCATCGGACTCTCTGCTCAGCAGGGAGCCTGCTTCCTCCTCTCTCTCTGCCTGCCTCTCTGCCTGCTTGTGATCTCTCTCTGTCAAATAAATAAATAAAATCTTTAAAAAAAAAAAAAAAGAATTAAGTGGATAAAGAGAGGTAAGGAGGTGATTAGTGCTGTGAAGAAAATGAAAGCTGCTTAAAAGGATAGTGTGGGGAAGAAAAACGCATTTTTAGTGGAAGGGTTGGGAATGACCTCTCTGATGAGGTGTCCTTTGAGCAGAGACTTGAATGAAAAAAGAAGGTAGGCCATGTAGATATCTAGAGGCTAAGTGTGTGAGGCAGAGGAAGCAAGGGCCCAGGCCTTGAGAGGGGAATAGACTTGGCATGTTCAAAGAACCGGGAAGGCTCAGTGTGGCGGGAATTCAGGAAATGTGGGGAAAATGGAGTGGCGGAAGATGTCACAGAGGCACTGTGGCTGCTGGAACAGCAGAAAGCTCTGGGCCAAGAAAACTAGTTACTTCATGCTATACTGACCAACATTCCAGTTCTCCATGGGTTCTGACTCCGTGCAATTAAGAGTGTACCCTGTCTTGGGCACCTAGGTGGCTCCGTCAGTTGAGTGTCTGACTGGATTTTGGCTCAGGTCATGATTTCGGTTGAGGTCCTGGGATCGAGCCCCACATTGGGATCTGCAAGGAATCTGCTTGAGGATTCTCTCTCTCCCTCTTCCCCACTCCCCACTTGCACACATGCTCTTTCATAAATAAGCTTTGAAAAAAAAAAAAAAAACAACTGTACCTCACCTTCCTTATTTCCCCAGGAACCTTTACCAAAGAGGCTGCTAACAATTAAAACAACCCCAGTTTACCTTTACTCCAGGCAATTTGAAGTAGCCATCAGGGATAATACTAGAGGTATGGCTACCATTCTTTCTTAATTTTTTAAAAATATGAAGGAGCAAAACAGGAATAGGGAGAAAGATAGTTTGACAGTGGCAAAATACAAAAATCCGGGTAACACTGAGTTTTTTCCTTAAGCCTCTACATTTCCTCCTCTGCATCAGAGATCCTTGGCCCTGGCTATACATTGGATTTAAATACGAAGCTTTTTAGAAACACTAAAGCACACTCCATTCCAGAACTGAACGAGAACCTCACAGGGAAAGGGCAGGGGAGTGGCTGGTTGTTCATTCAAACTTACCCACAACATTCTAACTGGTCACTCAGGGCTCAGAACCATTCTACACTATTTCCCTTGAAGATTTCAGCAACAGCGAGGAACAATGGTTTCCAACACTGGCTGCTGAATTGGTTCACCTGGGAAGTTTTTTGTTTTTTGTTTTTTCGTTTGTTTGTTTAAGGAAATGCCACTGCCCATGCTGTAGCCAAGATGCACAAAAACTCCAGGAAAAAAATGAAAGAAACTCAGGAGTGGGACTTCACATCAATTTTCACTGAAGGCTCTCCAGGAGATTCCAAGGCACTGGAAAGGCTGAGAACCACTTACGAGATTCAAGTCTCATTTGTGAAATCTTACCAAAAGCCATACATTATTTCATAATCACAGGACCTTAGTTATCTCAAACTGAATGTATCTAAAATAGGCCACATGTTTCTGCCAAAGCTTGATCCCTATTTCTGATATATTACATTCTACGTCTTTCCTTCTTAATCCTTAATTCATCTTATAAGAGGAATGCATGTTTATTTTTAAATTCTACTGTAAAGCGAAGAAAAATGAAAAGTTTAAAATTCCCAACATTCAAAAAATAAACAAATCACTAACATTTCCAATATTTCCCTGGCCACCATGTTCCCACTTCCCAGACATGACCTCCAATAAAAATCCATTGTGCATGTTTTCCTTTACATCTTCATTACTTTCAAGATAATATACCATTCTCAACAACATTCTCCCAGCCCTCAGCTTCTCCATCAGTAACTGAGACACGTGTACTTTCAAGAATCTCTTTAATAGGTCTGATTTCTCAATTTCTACCATCCCCTCAGTAGCAACTATCCTGTATCGCTTCC